TGTGATGGACTGGAGACCTGTCCAGGGTGTCCTTGTGATGGACTGGAGACCTGTCCAGGGTGTCCTTGTGATGGACTGGAGACCTGCCCAGGGTGTCCCTGTGATGGACTGGAGACCTTCCCAGAGTGTCCCTGTGATGGACTGGAGACCTGCCCAGGGTGTCCCTATGATGGACTGGAGACCTGTCTAGAGTGTCCCTGTGATGGACTGGAGACCTGTCTAGGGTGTCCCTGTGATGGACTGGAGACCTGTCCAGGGTGTCCCTGTGATGGACTGGAGACCTGCCCAGGGTGTTCCCCGTCTCTCACAGTGATGGCTGGACATGAGCACCAGTGACCCCCACAACACGAAAAGGAAGACGCAGGTAAAGATAATGAATGGATGGATGGATGGATGGATGGATGGATGGATGCAGCCACATCCCAAAATAGAAGCTGGTACCTCTCTTATTCTTCACGTGATCACGCCCACAATATGCATGGAGGGACAGCATGTTTAATTCCCCCTTACCGCTCTACAATGAGGACAAAAACTCAACGGTTCTTGCGCTACGTTCCCATCGCTGACCGCTTTAAAAAGCAGACGGGAAAGGTCAAGTTGAACAAGCTCATGGGAGAAACATCTGGGGAGGGATTCAAACTTGCATCCAGCCACTCTGCTCCATCTCAGAGAACTGCCAGCCTCCGATTGATAACCAGGTTCAGATTCGTAGCAGACGCTTTAAGCGAGCATTCCTCCAAGGCACCGGTCCTTATTATCAGACAGACGTAAAAAGCTGCCCCCCCCCCCACACACACACACACACCATCTGCACTTAATAACAACTGACCCCAGGCAGGAGACATATTTTTAGTTCTCCTTCTCTTTTTTTTTTTTTTTTTTTATCTTTTTCCCTCCGTTTTGATGTAAATACTCCTTTATGGGACTTGTTTAGGTGTAAACACTCCACTGATTTGATTTGACAAGTGCCACGTTCCTTTGTGTCGTACAGGAACAAAGACACATCCACGTTAACAGCAGCATTCAACCAAAACGTTCCCGGAGAAACTTTTTCGAAGGGGACTGCCACATCGCAGCCATTTAAAAATTTAGATTTGACAGTATTTTGTGTTTCAACTACCACCGTACCAAATGTCAGCTCAATGTGTCAAAAGTCAACAACTTATAGTGTTCGTTTCTTTTAAGCTATAGTGGCCATCTTGGATTTGTGATTTGGATCCAACGTCCATTGGGGAACGCTCTCAGCTAGGGATGCACGATATTATCGGCACGGTATCGGGTGATATTAGCGATAAAGTTAAATATCGGACATCGCGG